TTTACAATTTACTTTGGCATTCCAGTCTTTATCAGTGGTCTTATTGGAAATTGTTTAAATATTCTGATGTTTTTGTCGAGAAAATTATTCCCACCCAGTCCATGCCAATTTTATTTACTTACTGCATCAATTTCAAGTTTAATTGCAATTGTCATTCCACTTTCATTGCGTATCTTAATCGGTTTACAATATGATGTAACAAAGACAAACCTATTCCTTTGTAAAGCACGACAATATTTGGGTCACGTTTCCATATTAACATCGTTGACATGTGTCAGCTGGGCGACAATCGATCGATACTTAATCAGCTGTCGTGAAGTTCGCTTTCGACAGATGAGTAAAATATCAACAGCACGGTTGCTGTGTGTCTCAACAGTTGTTTTCTGGTCTTTACACGGTTTACCAATCGTGATAATGGTTAACATTTATCCAGCTGCAGCAAATCAAACTGTTTGTGTTAATCGATCGACAGTTTATGCATATTATCTAAATTATTTTATCATTTTAATTCTCTACAATGTATTACCATTAGCAATTTTTGTTGCATTTGGATTGTTGACATGGAAAAATATACACAAAATCCATCGACGACGCATCGAACCACAACAGCAACGTTTATCCACAAATCAACGTCAGGAATATCAACTAACAAGAATGTTAATGTTGCAAGTTTCTTCGATTACCATATCAACAATACCTTATACAATAAACAGCCTGTACAATGCAATAACAAACCAAATACAAAAGGATGCTTTAAGAGCGGCGAAAGAAAATCTTTGTACCACAGTGACTAATTTTCTTTTTTATTTAAATTTTGCCGTCAGTTTCTACATTTATCTCAGCTCGTCAAAACCGTTAAGAAAAAAGTTTTTCAGAAAATTACTTTCGACATACAGCGGATGTCAGCAAGTGACGCAAGCCATTGCGACAATTACAGCAGCAACACCCAATAATGTAAATCAAACAGCATAACCTTCGACAAGAAGCAACTCATGTTTTCTCCTCTAGTTCGTCGTTGTTGTTTGCTATGTAGTGTTTTGTTTTCATAAATAAAACACAGAAGTCATTTCAGAACTTATCATAACGCGAGACGACTAATTAAGTTTTGTCACGGATGTAACATTATCATGCGTTGATTCACGCGTACAGTAGTTATTTTTGAGAACAAGCCGATGACATAAGCCTTCATTTCAATTTTATCCGACAAAAAGATGTGGCTTGAGGAGTTTAAGCGGAAGTCAGAATCTTGAGTCAAGTGTATTCACTTGGGAGAAGCTTGTTAGCGCAGCTCCAAAGGAGCTGAAATGTGAAACTCACGTATATCTTTTAAACTGGCTATCCTGATGCCTGTTTTTTAAAGTTCAAAATAGCTTTTTTTCGAATATCTATGAAAGCATTGATATATTATATAGAATATAAAGCCTTCTATGCGCGGTTGTTGAGGTTTGTAGTGATGACCTGTCTGTAATGTGGAGTATGTCTGTAATGGTGGGGTGTCTGTAATGGGGGTATGTGTGTAATGTTCTCTTTCTCCATTACTAAGTGTCTGCAATGGGGAAGGAGGGGGGGGGGGGGGGGGGGGGTCTGCCCAAAAGTTGAACCTGAAACTTACACTCACTATTTTCTTCGAAAATATATGAGTTCCACAAAATTGGTTATGTCACAATATGGGTGTGAGTGTGGGGGTGGGCACGTGTGTGTCCTGTTGTAGGCTCATTCACACCCACAATCCACACCCACACCCTCGTTATTCTATTCATCGTTCAGGTTTATCTGTAACTGTATATGCCTGCAAGTGTTCTCTGAAGAATTAATTTTATACAAAAAAAAATCAAATTCTTTTTCTAGAGGACTTATGAATATTCATCAACGGAATTTACCTGATTCATATGTACGTCGTTATTTAGTACCAGATTCCAAGAAGGATAAAAAAAACAAAATCTATTTATGATACAGTTAATCCAACATAGGATGGTTTGTAAGAGATAATAAAGTAAAGTTATTAAATATAAATTTAATATATTTTTGATGATTATTTAGATTTGAATGGCAACCATCATTAGTGGATGTACGTCAACAACGTCTTTATTTAAGTATCAAAAATAATCTGTCTTTACTTGTACAAGAGCAAACATATATGGACGATGTAAGTAAAAATGAAAGAGACCAACAAAGATTTTCAATTCAATTCTTTTTTTCAAGCTTCAAATTGATTTATCGAATCTCTATCCAGAAAAAAAGTATTGTGGTATGCATTACAGGAGCCAAATACAAGCGATATGGTGACATTATAAAAGTTAAATATGATGCATTAGAATCAAATGAATAAAGCACAAAATTGAAATGAAAAAGTATACATTTTTCGTTTTTACCAGCGTTTGTAAAATTCTGTTAGTATTTTCGCATTGTTCATTTTATTCTGGAATACTCTCTTCTAATAAGAATATTTTTTTGTTATTAATTTAATTTGTGTAAATTATAGTCTAGATATATGAATGAATACGAATTAGAAGAAAGCTTCATGGAATCAATTGGTAAGAAAAATAATATTAAACATAGATATATATATATATAGTGATTATATTTTATTTGAAAGATATTTATAGTTACAATTTCACAGATTGAGGAGTATGTGTCAAGTTCTAGAATTATCGAAATTTTCTAATTAATTATAAGCAGAGGCATTCGATCTTAGGCAGGAAGAGTGTTGCGTTATTTCTTTTTACAAAATGTGAATTTTGTTTTATATATAAGTCAAAGAAAATGATTGATTGCTTTCAATAAAAGGAGAAAATTTTTTTATAATATGAAGTGTTATAACCTTCTAATCAAGTCACTATTATTTTTAATTCTATTAGAATGACTATTTGGTTCATCTGTTCATGAGTTTCTAGAAAAATGGAAACTTTTTTAGTTTAATGTAAAAATTAATTATTCAGAATATGAAAGAAAGTGGTCTGATTTTTATCATAATCAATATCAGATTATGATTTCAAGGATATATTGAATATGGTCTAATTTAATTAAAACAAGACAGTTCATCATGTGTGAAATATCGATCTTGTTCTTGATAGTTTGAATTTAGACTGAAGGTGTTAATGAAGCGAACTATAGCAACTAATCTTTTTTTGCATTTTCAAATTCACTAAAATCTACAATTTGATTTGAATGTGTCATTCTTTTTTCTATTAAATATTTAATTTATTTTCATGAGGGCACTATAATGACAAACAAGAGGTAAAAACATGTAGCAAATATGTGATTGTGATTGACATTGTATGACGAGATATTCCATGCTCATACTTTCACACAATTTTGGCCTGCCATAGAGTGGAATATTAAACAACAGTAGTTCATGATGACAATCCTACTGTAGAACGATGTTAAATGAATCAAATAAATTGGTAGAATAAGAATTCTAAATGATATAATTTCCGAGCATTTGTATCAACTATGAAAGTTTTTATAATTTTGATAGATTTATATATTTGACATTTTATAAAATAAACTTAACGCCTCTGGCAATACATCATAAATTTATAACAATCGGAATTTGTGAGTTCCATACTTTGATTTTTCACGGGCAGTATTGGCAAGTCTAGTGGAAGTAATAGTCGTGGATGCAGATTTTTAGAATCCACAATTCTTGCTTCTGTAATAGTTTTTTCCTGAAGTTCTTGGTTAGAATTATAAATGATCAAAACCCAATTCGAATAGCATTGAAACTAGATAAAGATCTCGTCTTCACTCTTGCCGCTAATCTTCTCAATATCACAAGAGCAAGTATCATGTTAGTATCTGTCATGAATCTAAGACTATTGATTCATATTCAAATCTATTGAAAAATTCTAAAATATGCATTCTCAAAATAAGTGTTAACTTAATCCAAAATTATTCCTCTTTCAGCGTCTTATTCATCATTATCATATTCAGTTCTTTGAATCTTCAATGTTACAATCAAGTTTTATTAATAAAATCTTTCAAATAATGAGAGTTTAGGAAAAAAAATAAGTAATCTTCAAAAAAGAAAAGGAAAAATGAAACAGTAAATCACAATCTTCGTCTAGTTTTAGTCGGTGCTTTAATAAGTCCATGTTTTCGTGCTAATTGTAATGCATCATTAAGTTCAACACAAGTACGATAATCATCTAAAGCTGCTTGTCGTTTATCATCTTGTTTTGATCGTGCATCACCTCGCCATTTATACACAACTGGATCACATGGACGAATTTGTAAAGCTCGTGAAAAATGTTTTTCTGCTTCATATGGTTCATTCATTGTTAATAATAATTGTCCAAGATCTACATAAATATGTGCACTTAATGGTGAAATTCTTAAAGCATGTTCAAGATCTTCACGTGCACTATCATATTGTTTTAAAACAACTTTAGCTATAGCACGATTTGTTAATGCTGCTTCATCTCGTGGATTTATTTCTAAAACTCGATCAAATAAACTAATAGCTTGTGGAAATTGTCCATGAAACATAAGTATATTTCCTGCATTATAATGTGCAAATGCATTATTTGGATCAGCAAGCATAGCTGCACGATAATCACACATAGCATTTCTATTATCACCTAAAAATTGTTGAATAACACCACGATTTGTAAGTAATTGAGCTGATGATGGTTGAAAACGTAATGCTTGATTAAGATCAATAAATGCTTCTGTTGGATGATTCATTTGTAAACAAACAATAGCACGTGCTTCAAGTGCACGTACATGTGATGGATTAAAATGAAGAATAGCTGAAAATTGTATCCAAGCACGTTGATAATAACCACGTTGTCGAAAACAATAACCAAGATTAAGTCGTGCATTTTCATGTAAAGGATTTTCATGTAATACAAATTCAAATAATTTTGTTGCTTGTAATTTTGATTTATCATCACCAATATCCATATAAACATTAGCTTGAGCTATCCATAAATCATGTCGAAAATTCATATCTATTGTAGTTTGTTCAATTATTTCTGATGATATAAATTGTTCAATAGCTTTATCAAATTGTGCTAAACGATGATGACATTGTCCAATTGTATATATTAATTTATGTTTAAGTAATTGTATTCTTTTATCATCATTCGATGTTAATACTAATTGTAATGCATGTTGAAAATCTATTAATGAATTTTCAAAATCTTTATGTTCATATTGTAATAAACCTCGATTAACATATGTTTCAAGTTCAAGTAATTGTGTTTTACTATTTTTTATTGTTGATACAAGACATAAAACAATAGCAAAATCTTTTAATGCAAATGAAAGATTTCCTCGACGTACATAACATAATGCACGATTATAATATGCATGTGAACAAGATGGATCAATTTGTAATGCTATTGATAAATCTTTAATAGCATGTTCATATAGACGAAGAGAATATTTTAAACAACCACGATAAAGATAAGCACGAACAAGTTTTGGACTTAAACGAATAGCTTGATTACAATTTAATACACCTTTTGAATAACGTTCACAACGAGCATACCTAGAAAAAAAAACAAAAAGAATATTCAAATTTATAATATCGAATATTGTTTGATATTTACCAAGCAGCTCGTGCAAGATATGCTTCAGCACTATTTTGTTCAATAACAAGTGCTTTATTAATATCTAATAATGGTCGTCTATTTGATGATAATTTTAGTAATTCTTGTGCAGTATATTTAGTAAACATTCTCATTTTAGCAATACCACGTTGTAAATAAGCTTCAGCATTTGGATTTGCTTGTTGAAGTTTTATAAGTATAGTTAATTGTTCTATAGCTTGTGGATAACGTTTAAGTTGTATAAGACATTTACTTAAATCTAAATAAGCACCATGAAGTTCAGTTGTTTGATCAGTAATAGTATTTTGACATGCTTGTATACATTTTTCAAATGCATCTCGTGCATCATCAAATCGTTTAGCTTTTATACGTAATCTACCAAGCATACGATAATTAGCAGCTGTTGGATGAAATGAACATTCACGTTCCATAATTGATAAAGCATAATCAAATTGTTCAAGAAATGAATGTACAATAGCTTGTTGTTGAGGACTTGATGCATTCATTTTCATTGAAGATGATATTGATGGCAATCCATCTTCTTCAGGATGAGATAATGATTGTAATTTAGCAGCTACTTCAACACAGAATGATGCTAAATCAAGTTGTCCCATAGCAAGAAGTATATTTCCTCGAAGTACCATAGCAGCATTTTGATCCGGAAACATATGATAAACTTAAAAAACAAAAAAAAAGCAAATTCAAAATAATTCTTTTCATATAGGAAAAATAAATTTCAAGTTTTACTTTTCGTATAATCTGAATAAGCTTGTTGTAATTTATTAATTTGAGTATAGAAATAAGCACGACAAAAATAAGCTCGAACATATGTTGGTTCAGCTTCAATAGCTCTTGAAAATAATTGTAAAGCTTTTTGTACATTTGTTCTCATATAAATAATAGCTAAATTACATAATGCTGGTGCATGTTCACGATCTAATATTAATACAGCTTCATAATCCGCAATAGCTGCATCAAATTGATTTTGTTGACAATAAATTAATGCTCGATGAAGATATGCACCAACATTTTCATATTCAGGATTAATTAATAATGATATACTAAAATCTTTTAATGCTTGAGCTGGATTACATGTACGAAGTAGACAAGCACGATGATAATAAGCTTCCCAATTTGATGGATCATAATGAAGTGTAGCAGAAAAATCAGCTAAAGCTAATTGATAATATTCAAGATAGAAATATGAAATACCACGATAAAGACGTGCTGTAACATGATCTGATTGACGTTTTAATAATTCTGTAAAATCACCAATAGCATAATCATAATTATTTGTATTAAAATAATACATAGCATGTTTATACCTAAGAGAATGTGTTTTATTTTATTTTTTTTTGAAAACAATGACAATATTAAATGACTTACCAAGCATCAATATTTTTTGGATTCAATCGAGTTACTTGTACATAATCATCCATAGCTAAAAGAATTTCATTTCGTCGTTCATAAGTTTGTGCACGTTGATAATAAGCTTCATGATCTGTTGGATTATAACGAATAGCTTGTGAATAATTAGCTATGGCTAAAGCTAAATCATTTTTAATTGAATATACATCACCACGTAATTTATAAGCACCAGCATGAGTTTTATTAAATTTAATACACATATTTAATGAATCTAATGCTTCATCATAATGTTCAAATATCATATAAATAAGTGCACGTTGCCAATAAGCATCCATAAATGATGGTTCAATATAAATAGCTAATGATAAATCATTAAGAGCATCATGAAATAAACCAAGTTTACGTAATAAACCTCCTCGTCGTGTTAAACTAAATACATCACGTGAATCACGATTAATTAATATTGTTAAACGATGTATTTCATCTTCAATTAAACGACGTTCTTCACTATCAGCTAATTGAAGATTTGTTATTGGTTCAAGTTGTATACTTGGTCCTTTTTTCATTTGATTTTCATCAATTTCATTTTCATTTGTAGTTGTTATTAATGATTCATCTTGTGGTGCTGTAACAGTACTTTGTTGTTTTATTTCATTTTCTTGTCTTATTGATTCACGTTTATCTAATTCAGCTATATATTCATCAAGCCAATTATACCATAAATCACGTGTCCATTCAAATTCATTTAATAAACGTTTACCAGCTGATTTAATACGTGTTTCATCAAATTTATATTTTGTTTTAATAATATCATCAAAATTTTGTTTATCACGTTCAAGACTTGTACGACGTTGACGAAATTTTTCTTTTAATGTATGTGGATGATTTCGTTCATAAAATATTGCTTCATGAAATGAATGACGTCGTGATATAGGTGGATAACGTGGTGGAGCAGAAGCAATAGCAACAATAGCATCAATACGTTCCCAAAAATGAGCATCTTTTCGAGCACGACGACTTGCTCGAAGACGACCACTTGGCATAAATCGACGACCCCTAGCAACAGCTTGTTCATAATGTACTGAACGATTTGTTTTTCGAAAATATTTAAAATCTCCTGAAGATTCTTCAGGTTTTTCATTAATAATTGATTCTAGAACAATTTTTTTAATTGAAAAACTATTAGTAAGATTCTTATAGGATTAAAACGTGAATCAAACAAAAAAAATGTAATAAATAGTTACAAAAAACGAACTTTTAATTATATCTATCTCATACTTCTTTTAGTTTACCTTTTTCGTTAACTAGATTTTCTTTGACATTTGTTGTTACGTCAACTGATCCAGATGATATAATTTGTGTTTCATCAAATGGAACTGACGCTGGTATTGTTACTTCTAATTTAATATTTTTTCGAGCTTCAATTTGATGTTTTGTTTCATCTAATGTAAATGCATAACTTGTATCAAAACGAATAGCAGTTTCGGCTGTTAAATCTGAACATGAACGAGTTAATCGAATCATAGTTGGAAGCATTTGAAATTCATCACTATGATCAATTGTTGATGGTAAATGTTCAAGTGATTTATAGGGTTTTATAACAGGAACAATAAAAGATTGTTCTATTAATGGATCTGGTTCACTAAAATTTGTAAATATAGATTTATGTTCATCGGCTATAGATAATTCATCATCTTCATTATCTTCAATATCTTTCGTAGCAGTCGATGTATAATCAACAAAAAGATGTTCTTTTATACGACGTGGATGAATATACATTTTTGGTGGTGCTGGTGTCCATAAACGAATAAGATATGGATCTTGAGATAGTGCTGAATTGCCATCAATTTTTGGTTGAACACGTTGAGCAGCACGACGTTGCCATACATTAAGATCAGTATCTAACGACATTAAACCATCATAAGGAATTGAAGGAGTATTCGATTGAACTGGATATGAACTATAAAAATAAATTTATACAATTCATTGTATTAAAAATTCGAAAGGAAATTTTATTTCTTTTCTTCTGAAATTGAATAGATACTTCGGTTCGTCAAGATTTCTAATGAAGATATCTATCATGTAACTCTTTGCATCGTGGATACTGTTCATAATTAACGTATCACCAATAAATAATGACCGTTTTTTGTGTTTGAATAGTTAGATTCAATTAATGCAAAGTAATAAATATTGGTCATCTATGAATTACTCGAAAATATCTTTACTTTTGTTCTATGATCATTGAATTTCCAAAATAAAATGTTCAATACACAGTTTTTACGGAATTTAACTAGATCTAAAATAGTTGCTCGTGATGATCTCTTCCAAATAAAAACTCTGAGACGATATTAAGGGTACATCTCTCTCTTTTTTGAACATTTCTAGTTTTCGAAGAGGGTACAATCGATCTTCCTGAAATTTATACTACAAAGAAAGAACTTAAAATAAGGATACACGTTTTCGAGGAAAAAAAAAGCATTTTCAACCAGATTTTTGCGATTTCCTAGGAAGAGTCATGGTTTTCCATAGGATTGAGATATCTTAGACTATATTTCACAAATAGTTTTAAGCTGTTTTAAAAATCTCGCTTTCTTTAATCTTTATGAGAGTCATACGAAAAGTGTTCGAATCCTACACATTCGAATAAGAAGGTCAAAAATCAAAACAGTCAATTCTATCTCTAGAAAATCCGACCAAGTCTCTGTTGTAAAAAAATATTCAATTTGATCGAACAAGCTTGTAGGCAGGTCCGATTGAGAAAACTCGTATTTTCCATTGCGCGAAGTAACAGAAAAAAATTTCGCTAGAATACATATGAAAAATAAATTTGTCTAAGTTCCGTAATTTTGTAATAGTATGCTATTTAGGATTGAATGATGTTTCTAATTGCTCATAACACATGGGATTATCATACCTTATGTCCAGCTCGAAATCGAGTTTTTGGTTAAAAAAAAGAGGGGGAGAGGTATTCTTCAATGGAACACTACCCTTTGGAACTTCAATGCAACACTGTACAAAAAAAAGTGTAGGATAATAAATCCTACAAAAAAAAAAGTTTATTACCTTCATAAACTCGTTTAATAGAGAACATAGGAAAATCTTCTCGTTGATAATAAAAATACTTTTATCATATATTTTATTAACCTATGGATTAGTTTTTTTAAAATTCGACTTACATTTTTTCTTCATGTTCTTCATTTTCAATAGTTTCTCGAATTGAAAAAGTTGGTATTTGTCCATGTTTATAATATGTTGAAGACATAGGTAATTGATGTCGAAATCGAGCTCGTTCATGATATAATTGAGTAATAGATCGAACTTCTTTTGACATAATATCTTTATTATCAGACATTTGAATACAAAAATGATGAATACTTTTATCATCATGTTTAACTTTTTTAATAGGTAATGCTTGATTTTTTTCAAATACTGGTGTTGATACATTTATTCGAGTACCTTGTACATTTAATAAATCTTCATCAGCTATTCCTAATAATATATGACGATAGAGTGGATCATTAGACATATCAATTTTTTCATCATCATCTGTTAATTTAATTCTACGACGACTTTTATCTTTTTCATCAATATTTTCTTCTTCTTCTTCTTCTTCTTCATATTCTTTTTCTTGATCTTTTTCATCTTCAATGTCAAGATCCATTCGACTAACATCTGGTGCTCGTAAATTAACACTCATATTTTCTTCTTCAATAATTATAGGTATTCGTTTTTCTTCTTCACTTTTTATTTGTTGTTCATGTTCATGTTGAATTTTTTCTTGTTCATCTTCATCATAAACAAGATCAACTGTTCGACCAAGTACACGATGTATAATATCAAGAATTTTACGATCTGATTGTCGTTGAGTTTCTTGTAATTGTTTAGATTTTATGGATGCTATTAAATTTTCAACTGCTGCACGTGTTGGATCATCGTTTGGTGTTGTTATAACTTGTTGTTGTTGTTGTTGTTGTTGAGTTATTGACATACTTGATGATGTACCATAAGATCTAATTATACAAAATTTTAATTTATTATATTCACAAAAAACAAAAAAAATCGAAAATATTCAAATTTCTTCTTACTGTTGTTTACTAGATAAACGACTATGTGGTGTTGTACGATCACCAATAGGTTGTGTTAATAATCGTGCTTCATTAATCATACGATTAACAACAGATCGTGGTGTTGTTCGTGGTAATACTTCAGATTCAGTGATAATAACATCAATTTTTCGTTTTTTTACTACTGGTATTTGAATAATAGGTTTTTTTTGTGGTTGTCTTTCTTGAAGTGTAGCTGTATGTGTTGTACCAACCACTGGTAAAATAGCTGGTAATGGTTCACGACGTTCAATAAAATTCATTTGATTCAATTCTGTTAAAGGTACTGGACGTCTTGGTGTTATTGGAGTATTCGTACCTACACGACTACTTGCTAAATCATCATTATTTCCTCCTGTTGCCATCACTGATCGTCCACGTAAATGAACTAAATTTAATTCTGGTATTGATTCACTACGACGTATAGGTAAAACACCTACACTACTTTTAAATGCTCGTGATTTAAGTTCATTAGTTGTTGTAATCGTATAAGATTGTTTCACTGATGGTAAATCAACCATTTTGTTTCTTTTTTTGAAATATTGCGTTCAAAATTTAACTTTTATAATAAATGTACGTATGAATGTATGTATGTGTATGAGGTAGTAGTAGTAACAAACAACGTGGGCAATAAGATCATTTACAGAACACAATGGAAGAGAAAGAAAAAGAAGGTGAAAAAGAGAACAAACGGGAGT